TCTAAACATACGCTTAATCAGGTTTAGTCGAGTTTTATACAAATTCGAGAATAGATTGCAACATTAACTAATCATATCCGTACAAATTTTAAGGGCATCAAAAGAAAAATTAAAAAATTCATGGGAATGCTAAAAATGAGTTCTAAACGCAGTTGTCCGCTTGCGGTGACTGGTGAGCCCTTTACTAATCATCCTCTTCCCTCATTTTCTGGCTTTACAAATACAATAATATCGCACGTACGTGTGCAAAAAACTGCAAATACAATAATTCAAATATTTTAAACAACAATATATAATAAAGTATAGTGTTTTTTAATTTAGTATTTGCTAGTACCGGTAATAATGATAAAACAACGGTGCCTATAATTGCTACCAGTCTCTTTTAGTGCTTTCCCCGATGCAAAGGAATCTTTTGCAGCCTCACGGGCTGTTCCCGCCAAAAGCTCTGCTCCCTCATTGGCTGCAGTTGAGTACTCAGAAAAATAATATAATAATACATCATAATTTATAATAATATACAGTATTTCATTTGCAATGTTCATATGCATCAGATATTTTTCTGGAAGCCTTTGATCATTCTTGAAATGTAACTCACATCTCAACTAGTCTTGTCAATTCCTACACATGGATAATAGACTAATAATGCTATAGTTACTTCAATCCTTGCAAAATTATTGGTATTTGCCGATGTAAATAAATATACCAACTATTCTTTTCTATTATTATGTAAGATTTGTTAATTTGTATGCATTTTTTTATGATACTCAACGATTTGAATCTATTGCATTTTACAATGAATTAGCAAGAATTTTTTTTTGTCTTTCGGAGATTTTTGTTTGTGTTATATTGATGATAATATGTAACGAGATGTTAAAATTATAGCCCATTGGCATATTTGTTGTTAATTTCTATTGTTCAATCTATAATTCCTTGTAGTTGAAGTTTTTTTTTTTATTTTTTATTTTTTTATGTTAGTGTATTTTATTTACCGACCGCCATGTTGATTGTAGAAAATGCATACAATACATAATTTTAATACAACTCGTGTAGGTTTGAGAAATTTGACACCCTATATGAACTTAGCTTCTACAATTTATTGAGTCTAGTTTTGTCTATGTGGCATGTAGATAAACTCAAGTTTTGGATGACATAGATAAAATTATGTAAAATTAACAAAATTCACTCCAATGCAAAGAGACTAAGTGTCTACTTGTCTCTAAAATAGACTTAAGGGGAGATTGAGTCTCTTTTTCTGGCTCACATCAGCATGACTCAGTCTACTTTTATTTGCATTGAAGAATATATATTTTTAAACTGAATCTATTTTTTAGGTGGCATATAATTTTTTTAGATTGAACCTAAAGCATTGTGAATGCTCTTAGAGAACAGGACATATGAACTATAGTGGGTGTTTGAAGATTGGTTTAGAATATCTATTTCGATTGCACGTTATTCAAGTTTGATTCTGAATACATTTCAATAGGTGTCACCCAGTTGAATGACTAGATAATTGGGATTGTGGCTACATATTCATAAATATTTTGTTCTAAGTTTGATTTTCAACTAGCATTCGAAATCTGCATTTACACAGATATAAATAAATTATTGTGAGTTTGTATGCATATAATGATTAATTATTTTCCTTTCACTTTTTTGCAGACCAAATTTACAATTAAAAGAGTTGGAATTTATTTTTTTTTTAAATTGCGTTTATCGATTGGATGTAATGTATATTTTGGTGCGTCTTTTATTTGTGAATTATTTATTATTTATTTAGGAATTTCAAATATATTTTTTATTTTAAAAAAAAAAAATTAAATGTAACAACAATAATAACATCTAATCACATTATACGGTCAACACATTATATGGTCAACTGTCATTAATCAAAAGTTTAAAATGATTTTTGTAATTTTGAAGTGATGAGTATTAATTATTTAATGATTAAATGAAAGATTAAATACATCAAAATATAACGGTTTTTGGAGGAAAAATTGTTAAATTGCCACATAGGTAAAATTAAATAGGTTTTATTAAATGTTATTAGCTAATAATTATATATATATATATTGTCTCAATAGGTATCACCCAATTGAATGACCAGATAATTAGAGTTGTGGCTACATATTCATAAACATACAATGCGAGTTTATATTGGCAAAGATAATTGCATGTTCTAGATAGTGTCATTTGCATAATTTTAAAATTGGCCCTTTGTATTTACCACTTTTTAAAATTGGCCTGTTGTATTTTCTCTTATCAAAAGTAGTCCATTAAATTATAATTATTGTCAATTTTGGTCCAATTTTAACCTTAACATAAATAACAATATGATGTGGCAGGTTGATGTGGCAGGAATATAAATGACATGGCTTCTCCAACCATTACTATAATTTCCACTTGGAAATTAATTTACCAAAACTCTTCTTTTGCCCCCAACTATAATTGCAATCTCGTCAGTCTACCATCCATCCTCCCTAAGTAGTCAAGATATTCACTACAAACTCCAATGAAACCCTAGGACATTTCCAACAATTACTATGGGTAAGTAACTGCTTTCACAACCTCACCTTTGGGTCTCTTATCAGTTGCTCTTCCATAATTCCATTCCAATTTTTCCTTCATTTTGCAGCCAACATGCCTAACTCCGATCAAATTTTAATTTCTTTAAGAATTGTGTTATTTAGTTTTCACATGTAAATGCAAATTTAAAATAAAATGACATAGCATTGCTTATCTAGCCACATCATAAGTTTATCCATAAGTTTAACCCACTTGGAATGATTAAGAGNCAAAAAAAAAAAAAAATGCAACTTAATGGACTAATTTAATTGAAGGTCAATACAATAGGTCAATTTTGAAAAATTGTCAATATAAAGGACCAATTTCAAAATTGTGTTGTGTCATTTTATGCAAATTTAAATGAGTAGACAGGTTGTACAAGAATTCTACTAGTAAAATTGGACTCTTGACTTTTTGTATCTAAATTGAGTTTAATATTCAATACAGCACGTGGTGCAATAGTACAAACTTCAAATTAGACAACCACATTTGTCTAACCAAAGGCTGGACATAATTAGAAGAAATTATTTAACCAATCAGTGATTCAAAAACTAGCAAAACCGTATTATTCAGCTATTTGGAATTGGCGTAATTCCATGATGATGATATATTTATTGACTATAGATAAATGGATTATTCTGAAACTGGAAAAATATATTTATATTTGTAAGCCTGAGATGAATTTACGTGGCAATGATGTGGAGCAGAGGCATAGGGATTAGGGGTGAAAATGGAGCTTTGTGCCATTCCCAAAGTGCAGATGGTGTGGGCCAATTGTGAAATTTCTCTCATTTCAAAGTCGTTTGATTGAAATTTTGAAAAATCCCTATTTACTCATTTTAATTTGGACTTCAGTGCTGCAGCACTGTTCCCCCACATGCACAATGTTTGAGGTGTTATTCCATCATTATTTATTTATTAGTTATTTGTGCATAGCGCCAGTTGAACAAAATGAATCAATTCGTGACCTCCCTATACTTAATAACAAATTTTATGTAAATTTCAAAAGCTCCATTTTTTAAGTTTTAGTTTCACTTCTTAATATTAATAAACAAATTGAGTTTGAACTCTTTTATTAACTTATTTTAGTTGCTCAACTCCATAAAGATTTGATCACAAATTTGAGTATAAGGAGTTCTAGCTCCACTTAACTTGTTTACATTCTTATTTTTGTTCAAAATAACTCATAAAAGCTAAAGAATTATATGATTTTAGAATATATTGTTTTTAAATTATAAACTACATCTATTTTTTTTAATTATAAACTAATTAGTCAAACACCACTATAACATTATAAAAACAAATTATTAGTTGATTTTCTATAAGACCGATTAAACATTTGACCTGTAAGAAACGGAAGGAAAACGGGTGCGGTCCCACGCACGTGAAGCGCACATAAGCAGGGAAAACTCAAATAAGTCCAAGTGGAGTTCCATCACAAAATCAATTGAAGCAGGGAAAACTCAAATAAGCCCAAGTGGGGTTTCATCACAAAACTAATGGAAGGAGAAGTAGCACATTAAACTTATAAGGTGGGTCTATTTTCCATAGAAGGGAAAATCCAGATGAAGTTCAAGTGGGATTCCATCCCAAAACCAATTGGTGGAAGGAAGAGCCGATTAGACTTATAAAGTAAGCCTATTTTCCCTACATAAACGATGTGGGACAACTAACAAGTGATATTCTAACATGATCAACACCTTTTACTTATAAATATATATTTTGATTTGAAAATCCTATCTTAAAAGAAATATAAAAATATAATCATTAATAGTATAAATGTGCTTTTTTTTTCACAAAGCGACGATCAAGTCACCTAGAGTGCCTTGCACAAATTTTGTGTTTATCATAATCACCTAGAGTGCCTTGCACAAATTTTGTGTTTATGATAAATATAAACGTGTTTATTAAACAAACATGTAAAAATTACGTCATCTTGCCTACTTTAACCCTAGACAGATGAAGTCTAAGTGAAAGTCTAGATGAAGTCCAAATGGGATTCCATCCCAAAACCAATTGGTAGAAGGAGGAGCCTATTAGACGTATAAAGTAGGCCTATTTTTCCTACATAAACGATGTGGGACAACTCACAAGTAATATTTTAACATGACTAACACCTTTTACTTATAAATATATATTTTGATTTGAAAATCCTATCTTAAAAGAAATATAAAAATATAATCATTAACAGTATAAATGTGCTTTCTTTTTCACAAAGGGAGGATCAAGTCACCTAGAGTGCCTCGCAGAAATTTTGTGTTTATCATAAATATAAACGTGTTTATTAAACAAGCATGTAAAAATTACGTCATCTTGCCTACTTTAACCCTAGGCAGATGACAACAATTTTTGTCTCATCCAGTTCTGTAAGATCCATGTTCACATGTAAAAGATTTCCAAGCTATATGTTTTCAAGAAAACACCATATAACTACAGATCCTCAACTTCGTCTGATACGATAAATATATCACCAGTATTTAAAAAAAAAAAATACTCGCAAACTTCTATGTCAATTGAGATGATTAATCGTTATTACAGCCACAAGGTACTGTGACTAAAAGTATAAAAAGATGCTGTTTAGTTAATCATAATGATACACATTCATAGGTAATGTTAAAAAGAATTCGAACAACACTCGTATAAGAATATAAGATACACAAACTGTAGTCTTTTTTACATACCTAATCCATCCCAGAAAGCTCAATCCATTCCTCATAAACAAATTCGCAGTCGTCTAGGACCTAGGAGAGAGAACCCAAATGAAGTTTCAGTTAGAATTTCAAATACAATCAAAGGAAAGGTTTAGTACAGATAATTTACAAAAAAACCACTCGAATTTACATCACAGAAACAAAAACCACAGTCGATTTAATAATTTAAAATGTGGTATTTTCGTTATTAGACAGGACTCCAGGGGCATTTCCAGTAATCATCCATTTTACGGAGTCAGAAAGATAAGAAAGAAAAAAAATGTAACATTACCCGAAAACCGGCGAACAACATACCCTAGCAGCAAACTGCATATTGCCTGAGACAGGCATACACCAAGAGACAGTCAAAATCTTTTTCTCATGCTGACCGCTCATTTTCCTCATGGTTTGGCCCCGACTGAGAAGGTGACAGATGTTCATCGACCACATGTTCTCGATCCTCACTGGTTCCATCAGATGAGGAAACTTCATTTGCTGAGCTGTTGTTATTCAGGGCATCTGAGATGGCCGAGACTTCGTGCAGCTGTCCATTTAGCAGCCTTAGCATGATATTGTGCATAGGGTTTGATTTCAGTATCTGAAACTGGTGATCAGATGTGTGCTGCTGATTAAAACGGCCGGGAAGCTTGGAGGAGGTGGTGTAGCAATCTCTGCAGAGGTCGTACCCTACCTGCTCAACGCAGTCTTTGCATCTGTATCTATCGCCGATTATAGGGTACATCTGCAGATGTGAAAAATTTGCTTCACATGAGGGAATTTACCGTGGTACAAAAGTTCAAAGGATGTTGAAACTAGAAAGTGAGAGGAAAACATCACTGAGATTCAAAGTCGGCGAAGTTCAAGTTATTCATAAAGGTTTAACCATAAAACGTTGGGCATTAAATAGTTAGCACGTTATGCTTACCCCACAAGAATCACAGCCAACTCCAATATGGACGTTTGAGCTAGAATTCCACAATGGTAAAGGATCCTCTCCAGAAGAAAATGAAAAGTGGAAACTTTCCTTATCAGCTTTTGATGAGCCTGATAACCAAAATGTTGGAATTAGATATGACAGCCAAGTATCGGGATCAGCCATTAGGCCCATAAATATCAGTTTGGAGTGATTGGTTTTCTGAAAATTTGTAAGTCCAATCAGTTAAAAAAAAAATGTTTCTGATTGTTAGAATGTAAGTTTCAAAGACAAATGCATAGTATACGCCGTCCAAGCAACTTTGTAAAAAGGTTAGCAATGACATAACAATCGTTGCATATTAAAAAAAAATCACAAAATAACTTACATGTATTAGGAGTATCACTATGTAACTGCTCTTGTTTCATCTGTAAAGTCTCTCTTCTCAGCGCGTATTCTTTTGGAAATTGCTCCTCCAGAAAATGATCAAACTCCAAGCATACTTTTGGAGTGTCCCCTGGATGCAGACTCTGACAAACTCCACACTTGAGCACCTCATTCATTTGCACATCAATGCAGCAGGCACAAAAGGCTGAATATATGGGTTGGGGAGGAACGCATATACATTCTTAGTTGAAAAATACAGGTATACTAATCCTCTAAACAGTTCAAATTAAATTCACAAGAAAGTTTTGGCAACCGATGTATCATACCATGACCACAGTTAAGAACTATAGGCCGGACAAGCATGCGCTTACAGGAACCGCATAAAACATCATCAACTGAAACCGTATTGCAAATTCCATTGCCATGTATGAGGTTTGAGTTTCTTTCTTCAGCAGTGGCGTCGCTAACTGCTGCAATATCTTTTCTCAAGTCAAGCAGATTTTTCAAGCCAGTATCTGCATTAAGTGGACCTGATTGGACAGCTACTGTTGCATCGCAAGGCTTTATGGCTGTCTCTTCATGTTGTAACTTGTGAGCAGGACCATTGATTTGAGGCGAGGAGTAACCCATATCCTTCTCCTCATCTGGAATGTGCAAAACCAACAAATATATATATATATATATATATATATATATATGTAATGTTAAAAATCAGATCTTTGGACGTGAAATAAATGCTAACCAGTTACTATAAAAATTATAGTACATATAACCTGACCTAAAGTTTGGTTCTCCCTTCTCTTATAGGCAACAGGATACATTTTCAGCAGCAGCAGGTGAAGAATCTGACATACATAAGGAANACTGCCCAAAAAAAAAAAAAAGAAAAAAGAAAAAAGAAACAGCACATAAAAATCTTACTTGCCAATGAATTATGAAAGTCCCGTTGAGTAAATACTAAATACTGAAATAAAAAGAAAATGAAACAACACTTGCTAAACCAAATCAACATATTACTCCATACTACAAGAAGAAATTGAGGCGTGTGAGCGTCTATAATCAGCGAAGCACCAAGAAGCTAAAGTAACAACCACCAAGCTAAAGCAACCATAAAGATAACATAAGTATATGTAACAATCAAGGTAAGTTTCTTCTATAACAAAATAACCACAATCAAATCAGGATATCTACTTCAATCTGTAACTCTGTTAAAAAACGTGATCAACTAGCATAAACAACAAGAAAAAAAGACCATATTTACAGGCATCGCTCTTGTGCATATATGTTCTGTTATAATTCACGCAGACAGGTGAATCACTAAGCCTGTAAGCCATGAAAAAGGCCCAATAACCTTGAAAAGAGCTCGTGCATACATTTTTCTTTAAGGCATAAACAACTGATGAACAACAATATTGTTGACTTGCCAATTGACCTTGAATTCAACACGCCATAACGCACAAACACATTCACATCGGCCTTTAATTTCTCATAGCATGGAAAAAGGTACAAATGATGTGTATAGTCGCTAAACAATAGAGAATCGACTGAACCTTGGGGAAAAAAAGAAGAAGAAGAAGAAGAAGAAGAAGAAGAAGAAGAACCGAATTTATCATTAGACGAAAAATGAACTACCGGCAAATACAGCAAACGAATGCTTCCAAATAATTCTCGGATTGATCATCATTATCTTCATTGGAATCTTTCTCCATCATCATTTTGATTTCGTCTGAAACTTCCATTTTTCCCCTTTCTGGATGCACATGGAGAACATAATAAGGAAGACAGAGAAATAACAGATCAGATGGGCCAGCGGTAGAGGAATTCTTGGGCCAAATTTGAGCTCAGTTACAGTGTGTGCTTATTGGGCTCAACTGTTCCAAGTATTGACAACGTTAATTTGTTGATTCTTTTAATTTGGATAAATTGCACCAAACCCCCGTGTGTTTAACGAAACGTGCGCTTTTTCCTATTGTATTTTAAAAAATGCACCAGACCCCCTTGTGTTTAAATAATCGATGCGAAATGTGCGCTTTTCCCCACTGTGTTTTAAAAAATGCACCAAACCCCCTTGTGTTTAAGTAATCGATGCACGGTTCCCCCATTCCGTCCAAGTTAACCGCGCGTGTATGACACATTCTCTAGCTACGGTTTGTTCAATTTTTATTTTCAGAATTATTAATTTACCCTTATACCCTCCAGAATTTTATTGCAAAAGCTATAGTATAGGAAGTAAGAATCAAACCCGGGTTCCAAAGAAAGAGCACGCCAACACAACCACTGGGCTACATGAATGTTGTGTAAACTATTGAAGACACATATATTTATAATATAATACGGAAATGAACTAAATGGTGAAGGTCGGTAGCTGGAGATTCGCCTCAACGAGGGGATGCCGGTGGTATCCTCGGATTTTTTATAGCCTTCACGAATCGTCGGAAAATGCATCTGAATGCCCGATTTTGATCAATTTTTTTGGTAAATTGCACCAAACCCCCCTGTGTTTAACGAAATTTGCGCATTTCCCCACTGTGTTTTATAAATTGCACTAGACCCCCTTGTGTTTAAGTAACCGATGCACGATTCCCCCATTCCGTTCAAGATAACCGCACGTGTATGACACCTTTTCTAGCTGCGAGATTTGTTCAATTTTTTTATTTTCATAATTACTAATTTACCCTTATACCCTCCTGAATTTTATTGCAAAAGCTAAAATTATATAGAGTGTAGGAAGTAGGACTCGAACCCAAGTAAATAAATTATAATTTTTTTAGGAAATGATTTTAGTATTAAATAAATGATTTTAATTTATAATTTTATTAGTAAAATTTATTTTAGTTTTATTTCATTATCTTAAAAACAAAATAAATAAAGTTTGTTAACTAAGATAATATAAAATGAACAATGCAATAAAATAATATGGAATAATATAAATTAAAATAAATAATAAAATAAAAATAATCTAAATATAAATACAATAAATATTATTATTTTAACTTAAATTTTTTAAATTTATTTATAATTTATTTTAATTATTTTGTTTTTATTTAATATAATAAGTTATTTTTATATTTTTGTTTCGCCTAATTTTATATAATTTGGTTCATTATATTTTAATTTATCATATTTTTATGTTAATAATTTAATTTAATATAATTTACAGTATCTTCTAAATTTAGTTTCATTTATCCATATGTAATGTCAATGTATATTAAACTTTACTACATCTAACACTCAAGCATGAGTGTTGTAGTGGTAGCTTGCTTGCCATGCTCTTAGGTGTTCTTAGGTTCAAACCCCAGAGGCAGCATCTTTTTTATATTCAATTTATCGCAAATATATATATATATATAATACTCGAAGGGTATAACGGGGTTTTTGTAAAAACAATAACACCGTTAACATGACATTGAAAAAAGGGAACTTAAACACAAGAGGGTCTGGTGCATTTTTTAAAACACATTGGAGGGTTTTTTAAATTCAATTTATGGCAAATATATACTCCCTCTGTTTCGTTTTAAATGTCGTTGTAGGGTGTCAACTTTTTTGCAAATTAATTGTCGTTGGAAATATTATATTCATTCTTACATCTTTATTCTCTTTAACAAACATTATCTCTTATCATTATCTTTAAAAACCACCCATTAATAAATCAAAAACTAAATTTAATAAGATTAAAAAATAAGATTATTACACAACCCATTAAAATCGTAATTTAGAAGTTTTAAATTAAAACGACATTTAATAAGAAACGGAGGGAGTATATAATATTCGAAGGTTATAACGGGATTTTTGTAAAAACAATAACACCGTTAACAGGACATTAAAAAAAGGGAACGTGTGCATCGGTTACTTAAACACAAGGGGGTCTGGTGCATTTTTTAAAACACAGTGGAGAAACGCGCACATTTCGTTAAACACAGGGGGGGTTTGGTGCAATTTAACCCTTTTAATTTTGAGAAATTTACCTGCATACGTCCAAATGCGTTTTAATTGAATATAAACGAAAAATATATTTTATTAGCAAATTTACGAGAGTTGACCAAATTATTTGCATATAAACGAAAAGGGCACAAACAGTTTTATACTCACAGTTTAATGAGGGTAGGTCGAGATATTTATGGGGAATGACAGATTTTGTGAGATTTTATCTAGAGACCAAACGTCTTAGTTTAGTTAATTTATTCGCTGACAGTTTCAAAAAAATACAATCACATTTATAAGATTCATTAGTTTTCCCTTCAGAAACAAAGTACACCTTCAAAAATCATAATTAAACTTCCTATTCAATTTATAAGTGCACTCGCAGAAATATGAAGCTCCATGGACAGCGACGATCGAGAGGTCAAGGGTCTGCCAACAACACCGACGATCGACTAGAGTGCGACTCATCAAGAGGCGACGTGAGTCTGACGATTAGCGGTGGGAGTAGCGCAACGATTGGAATTAGGAAATCCATTTAGCAGCGCGAATAGGTCTCTGACGCCGTCGATGTATGAACAATGATGGAGACGCAATTCAACAGCGACGATCGACAACTGAGGTGGCTTCAAACTAGTCTGATCAAATCGTCTGTTAAGAAAAACTTGGAGGGTGGTCGTGGACGTTGCCGTCGCCGCACACTTGTTCTGTAATAATTTATTTTATTCATAGTTTTATTGTTTCTTTATATTCACTATATACAAAGTTTATGAGTCTTAGTCTTTGGGATAAATGTTTTCACATACTTTGATTTATTTGAGTTGTGAAATATTTCAATATTTATTTAATGTTTAATAATTGTTTATGTTTGATATATTAACAAAAAAAATTAACGATCTCATGAGATCTGATAACATAAACTTTTTATAATCTATAAATAAACTAAACATAAACAGAACCTTTAGATAGTTGATGTTAAGTAGTGAATAGAACATAATGGTATTGCATCTAGGTGTAGTGATCTGATCACATGAATTGCATATGGACATGAAAGTACATTCATTTGGAAATGATTGCAAGTGCAAGTCTTTGTATCTAAATTTGCAACATATGCATTCCATTTGGATAATACCTTGTAAACCTTGTCACTAACCTTCTAAACATGTTCACATGACGTCATATTCGTTTATATAATATTCAATAATGGTTCATGTTTGGTATATTTGTATGAGCATGAATCTTACAAATAATTATTTCATCTCTAAGTCATACAATCAAGAAATAAACAATGTGAAGTTAATACAAAAATCCAACAGAGTTTTATTACTATGGTGGATGAGATGACAAAAATAGACAAATATACTAAAGATAAACTTAAGTTAAATCCGAATCAGAGTTGTATTATTATGGTGGATGAGTACTTAAATTTCGATATTAGAGAAAAATATACTGAAGATAAACTTAAGATAAACCCGGAACAGAGATGTGTACTTAAATTTTGATATTGGAGAAAAATATACTGAAGATAAACTTAAGATAAGCCCGGAACAGAGTTGTATTATTGTGGTGGATGAGATGACAGAAACAGAAAAATATACTGAAAATAAACTTAAGTTAAACCCGAATCAGATTATTGAAGAAAATTTGATTATAATGTAACATTAAATATTAATTATAATTGGATAAAAGTTTATATATAAATTTTAGAAATAATTGAAATTATAATAAATGTTCAACAATAATTTTAATTGGAGAGAAAACCAAATTTAAATGGAATGAAGAGAGAGAGAGAGAAAGAGAGAGAGAGAGAGAGAGAGAAGAATAAAAACAAAAAAAAAAGAGAATGAAACGGATGGGACGGTTTTGTGGAGTCATTCATAGTTATCCACAAATGGTGTATTGACACGTGTCTTGCAATAAATACACATTGGACACGTGTCAATACATAAAGTTATGGATGACCCTATAAGAGAGCCATCCGATGACTTCATAGATTTACTGACGAAATATGAGAGATAATGTAAAGAAAGAGACAATTAAGGAGGAGATAAATGAAAGATGAAAAATTTAAGGAAGCAAATTAAGTAGGATAAAATTAAATCGTACATATGTTGTTAAGTTGATGGGATCGTAAATATGCAAATTTGTTTTAATATACCCGTAACTGTATAAATTTGGTATTCTTTTTAATAGTTATTTTATATTTCTTAGGTATTTCTTTTATTCTCCTTTTATTTTGTCATCCTCTTATTCGCATTGATTTGTCCAATTTAGAATTGAAAAGGCAATGTAAGTTCTGAACTCCATTTGAATGAAGAAGAGGGCAATTCGAGTAGGAAGATTGGATTCCCATTCCCATTAGTGGAGAAATCAAGGTTTATGATAAAGTCGACGTTGTTAATTTTCTTTCAAAAAAAGGACCATTAGTGAAGAAATCAAGGTTTATCATAAAGTCAACGTTGTTATTTTCTATTTTTATTTTTTTTAAGAAATGATTAGAACCAGGTTTTCCTAGAAAACCTTGTATACACTTGGAAATAAGACAAGTTGTATTATGGTTGTTACCAAGTCACTATATACCTTTAGTTGGACAACATTAAATATAGTTAGATATAAGACACGTTGTATACATTTAGTTGGAAAACATTAAATATACGTAGATATAAGACACGTTGTATTGTCGTTTACACCTGTCAACGTATACATTTAGGTTTGTATTATTCTGGCTGCATGCCACATTATTTAAATCTAGTATTATTTTGTTTGTAATAAGACAGCTTTTTTTATACAAAAACAATCCAAAGTCTCATAGGACTAGATATTTTCCCAATAAATCAAGTATTGCCATTGGAGATGCTATTGAGGTGGGGGCAGGCAATGTGGGATAATGGTGCGATCCTTGGTTCTAACCTCTCCAGAAAGCAGAGGTCCTCAATTCTTCACTACAAAGAAAGAAGCTGCAAATTATCCATAACTGTCGGTGATATGACCAGCAAAAAACATTAGCTTGCAAAATATGAAATAGCAGTTCCATTCGCACCGCAAAAGCAATCAACGATAGTTTGACATATTTTCTTCAGCTNAAAAAAGAAAAGAAAAAAAAAAAAAAAGAGAGAAAAGGCAGAACAGGAGGAAACTGATAATTTGGTTCACATTTCTACTCAAAATCGAATATAAATTATACAGTCAAAACGTGAAAGAAAACTATCCTCAAGGATCTTTCTCAGCACAATTCTACAAATAAATGATACACGCCAAACTTCTCTTTCGGCTCTCACATTATCACCAGGTGTTAACTGCTACGTACAAACTCATCATCTCACAAAGGATCATATGCCTGCCTAAGGATAAGAAATAAATCATGTTATTATATAATACATTTCAGTCGACCAATCCGTATTCTCGTACGCGTTTCGGCTCGATTGCCTGGCCCGGAATCCCAAATACACTTTTGTACCTGCACTAGTTCACATTTCTTACAAAGACACAGAAGCATTTCGGTGAATTTTTCTTTCTTTTTTTATTTTTCAAGTTGTCTGATTTATTTCCATAGCTTGACCGAGCTGTCATGGCTGGCAGAGGCGACCATCCCAGTTGGTGACTGTGCCAAGGCAGCAACTATGTTATCATGTGCAGGGCCGGGGACCGTCATGCTTTTGTTCTCGACCATGTTCCAAAGCTCTAGAGACTGCACATTGTTAAGGTATTGAAAAAAAAAAGAGTTATTTGACATGACCAAGGTTATATTTAATTAGAGAGAGAGTAAAATGAAAATAACTCAAATTCCTGTTTCTACACCAACTCAAGAGCTAGTAAAATGAACAAAAAGCGAAAATGGTATATATGCAAATTAGGGTTGTAAGTGAACCAAGCCTTTTCACGAACTATTTGGAACTCAACTCAATAAAAGCTTATTTGAGCTTGTGTAATAAGGCTCGTTAAGATAAATGAATCAAGTCGAGCTTAAAGTTATTCAGTTCCTCAGCGAATCTGCTCATTAAAGCTCACATAAATTGAATTAATATTTTAACCTTAATTGAGACTCTTATGCACGTAATTTATAAAAATCTTAACAGAGATATCCTCCGCTTTTAAAATAGTTTGTACCATTTTGGCAATAAACTAAAAAATAAATTTATAATCAATACTACCAATAGCTCGTTAAGCTTGATTAGGTTAAAAAAAGAGAGTAATACATCAGATGTTCAATAATTGAGCTTAGGTTTAGCTCATTAACAACAAACCATAACTGAACTCTCCAAAGTTTGGGTCGGTTCAGCTTTTTTACAGCCTGTTATGTAACACGTCAGAAGAGTATTTATAATAACTAGTTTTGGAAGATAACACGATTCTTTAGTGATCAGCCATTTAGCATAAGGGTGTATTCGTTTAGGATTCTAAAAGACATTTTAAGATTTTAATAAAAGTGGGATTTTGTGGGATTTCATCAATTCTCATGGATTCTCATGAATTCTATAGGATTTATTAGAAATCCACAAAAGTACTTAGGGGTGTATTCAATTGGGATTTTAAGTGACATTTTAAGACTTTTTAAGATTTGAGACTTTTTAAGATTTTCAGATTTTGGTGGAATTCTATGAAATCTTATGTCTTCAGGTAGGATTTGAAGTGGGATTTGGTATAAGGGGTTTTGTTTAGAAATCCCACAAAATATTAAAAAGTCTTAACAAATCCTAGTGTCAAATAAATTATAAATAGCTCAGGATTTTGTAAGACTTTTTAAAATCCCAATTGAATACCCCAGGATTTTTAAAAGTCTTAACAAATCTAAATTGAATACACCAGGATTTCTAAAGTCTTAAAAATTCCTTAGAAATCCTAATTGAATACAGTGGTAGTCTTTTTTCCTTGTTTATTATTCTTTAATTCTTTTTATACTATTTCCATAAGAAACTGAATACATGAGATCGTTATGCTTATTATTGCCAGGTGGTAGAATAATATATGGGTGAGAGATAAGGAAAAGTATTTTACCCGCGAGCCTCCAATCACCAAAAGAGCAGAATAACTTGGATGAAAAACACAGGAATGGAATTGGTTGCCATTGGCATTGAGCTCATGGATGTACTCTCCGGAGGCCAATGACCAAACTCTAATACTGTCCTCACTTACAGAGGCCAAGAGTTCACCACTAAGATCCCAGCACAGGTAGTTCACCACGCCCGAGTGTCCCTAACAAACCATGAAAACTCAATATAACAAAAATTAACAAAATCAAATGCACGAGCAGGGAATCAAGTATAAGAAGCAAAGCGGATATGTGGCTAAATAACACACCTGAAAGGAATGGGTCTGTCTATCGTTCTCAACATCGAATATAGAGACCACCTTGTCCGATGCTGCTGCCAGCAGGTGTCCATTTTTGGGTTGAAATCTCACCTGTGCACTTCCTCCTTGCTACGCCATGCAATTGAGACGGTTTTGAGTAAAGAAAAAAATAGAGAGCTCTAGGAAGGAAGATTTATGAAATGATAGAGATCAAAGATCCATGTAAGATATCCAACCTTGGAAACCCGGGTGCATGAAAATGGGCTAATGCTCCAATAGTGAATTTCATTGCTACTATCACAGAAACAGAAGAGATCAGTCTTCTTAGGATGGAAATCGAGGGACATCACGTGGGAAGAATGCCCTGTGTGAGCATGCAGACAATAGCTTGGCTGCATTTCAAAGTATATATTGAGCAAGCACCTTTTACTTTAATAAGGATTTACGGCAAACTACAGAAAACAAGTCAAACGAAAATAGGGACTATTGTGCACATAGAAGATCACGCCATATTGGCAGTGAACCGAGATAATAATCCAAACATTTCAGATATCCGAACGAGTAAAGTTTATAACGAACACTTGCCAAACCCATCAAAATATGGTTTCAAAAGCACGGAACAAAATAGTTTCAAAATGAAAGATTGTCTCAAAAGTAAAAACTGTATCAGTCGGGAAAAATTCTATCGACTCAGAAGCTAGTTCTTTTCGGAGCACCACTAGAGGTTAACCTTAGAGTTTTTCCTAAACAGTCAAAGTGGAAACTTTTGTGGAAGAAAAATGGATGTGGAATCATTACATTAGCTGCATCCCATAATCTGACAGACTTATCAAATGAGGCCGTAGCAAGTTGAGTTGAGTTCGGCCGGAAGCGGACATCCGTAATCAGGTACTGATGTTCTTCAGGTGTGGTCTCGGTTAGCATATTGTTCATGTTCCACAGAACAGCCTAGTCAAGATAAAAAAAACAACAATAACAATTTACTATAAGTAAAGAAACAAAGGAAAATGTAGTGATAGGCTGATGGCATAATAGGAGGTTTCTTTATTAAAGTAATTATTAAAAGTTAATTCAGCAGAAACATGGTGTTAGTGTGTCCATTATGTTGCAAAACAACTAGACCTGACTGAGTACCTTTTTATCATGCCCAGCACTAGCTAACAACTTCCCGTCGGAAGAAAAGTGGCAACAAGTCACCTTATTTCTCGTCCGAATACAACCAACTTCTCCAAATGAGAAACCTGTAAGTCAGACATAACATTACAAATTCAGACCTTTTGCTATAAGGCCAGTTCTAATTTGAAGAAGACATAAGCATGTATAAACATGATAAAAAGACTACCTTTTGAAGGCTCAGTTTTTTGTTCATTAGGAGTTTGTTTGAAAGAGCCATATGGATTTCCATCTCCCCCATCAGGTAACAAAAAAGAATCAACATTGTCTTCAAAAGAACCATCCTGTATAAAGAACATGACTATAGGATTTCAAGGCAACTACACTCAGAATTCACAATCTCTAGTACAGATTCATGCACACAAGTTTTATGAGAAACATTTTTTTTTTTTCCAAAAGGTAATTTTGCAAATATAAATGTTTTGGCAAGTAAGTCTTTCCTGTTTATAATTTGCAAATATAGATGTTCTGAAAGATGTGTTTAGAAGATTATACTTCGAGAGAATGAAAATACATAAAAGTAACCCTTTAAGAACACAATCTTACAAGCTGATTTGTAGATGATGCAATTCCACCAGCTCCTTCCGCACCATACATCATCACACTCTTGGAGATATTGTTAGCATGCTGCATGCTGCTAGCAGTGGCCATCCCATCACCAGGTGTATGTGTTGATTGGGGTGAACCAGGGGAAGGTCCTACCGTATTTCCCGTACCTGTACTGTTAGCAGGGCCTGATGAAGAATGTTGTTTTCTTTTCCTGTTGTTCTGCTCCAGGTCAAAGGACTGTGTTAATTCTTTAATGTGAAAACAGTAGATTACTGATTGATGCTTTAGACATGAGCATCAATGAAATCAACAGAAAAAATGTTTCGATTCGGCTGAACCAACCAAATGGATATAACTGCACAAGCGAGAACTCACCTGCTGCAAATGTTGTTGCTGCTGCTGTTGCTGCTGTAACTGATCCTGTTGTTGAGGAGCCTGCAGCATTTGGGGCATCTTCATCTGCTCAAAGTTACAAAAACATAGCAAGTGTCCAAAGTAAGCAAACAAGAAAGTTTATCTCAATGAGATGTTTTAATTTCCAAGATACATTTTGCAAATGTTAAATGTATCCAAAGATTTTTATCATGAAGCTGAAGCAATTACATTAACCTTGCATCAGTACTTGTACTGATAATTAAAAACTTATTGTGTCACCTAAAATGATAAGGGCATGTAAAGTTACAATTTATATATATTTATATTCCTATCAAATGACAAGTTATCAAATCCAGGACACAAAAACATCTTCAATTGCCACGATATAACGAGAAGTTCAATTCATATAGCATGCTTCATGAATGCCTACAGTGATCATGAGACGTGTTGAATTCCAACCACGGAATGTAAATACACAAACATTATTTGTTTCAAATTCATTCACGTAACTTAAATACACCACACCTTATGTAAAATATAATCATGCAGTTTCTTGCAACTTCCTTGCACTTTCATTACACTTTCATTGCACTTTCATGGCACTTTCATGGCAGCCACTTTAGGCTGATTTTTCAGCTTAAGAAATTTTTAGGAAAGCCACTAATAGTTATTTTTAGTTCTTATAAATAGGGATGCAATTTTATTTGTAAACAAGAGAAAAACTGAATACTCAATACAATGAGTTGTTCAAAATCTTCTTATTCCATCCTAAAATTGAATGAGCAGGACTAACAAGTGGTATCAGAGCCATGGCAAACCAAGATGTTGCGTCGACGATGCAAGGGAGCGGAGCAAACGCTTCACCGCGCCAGGAGGTCATCATCCACAGGACCGGGACGTTGGCGGGGCCAACTGGCCGGTCCTCACACGCACAAACTACGGCGAATGGGTGGTGCTGATGAAGGTCAAGTTGCGTGCGCGCAAGCTTTGGCGGGCCATCGAAGAAGGCACCGAGGATGAAGAAGAGGACTGTGCAGCTATGGAAGCGATTCTGTGCCTCACGAGTACGTGGAGTCGCTGGGCGCAAAGGACTCCGCAAAGGCTGCTTGGGACGCCCTCAAGGCCAGATCGCGCAAAGAAGGCGAAGGCGCAACAGCAGCGGCGGGAGTATGAGGCGCTGGCATTCCGCGACGGCGAGGCAGTGGAGGATTTCTCGCTCCGTCTGCAGTCGCTCGTCAGTCAGCTGGCGGCGCACGGCGTCACCATCACCGACGAGGAGGCGGTCGCAAAATACTTGTGCGTCGTGCCGCCTAAGTACGCCCAGATCGCGCTCTCCATCGAGACGTTGATCGACATGTCCACCCTCATGATTGAGGATGTGACTAGGCGCTTGCGGGCGGTGGATGACCGCGTGGAGACGGCGACGATAACTACCAACGGCAAGTTACTGCTGACCGAGGAAGAATGGGCGGCTCGTATGCGGCGGCCCGGGGAAGGCTCCTCCAGCGGTGGCGGCTACGGCAAGCGCCGTGGCAAGGCCCCGCATAAGAAGAAGGACGGCGACAACGCGCGTCCGATCGACAAGGACACTTGTCGACGCTGCGGGAAGACTGGGCACTGTGCCCGGGATTGCAAGAATCTCAAGAAGGAGAAGAAGGAGGCGCACCTCGCGCAGGTGGAGGACGAGGAGCCATATCTTCTCATGGCGAAGTTCTGCACGTTGCACGACGTCGAGCCTGAGTTGGAGAAAGTCAAGGCGGCGACCGCGGAGCAGGGAAAGGAAACTGTAGGATTGTATCTTACAATTCTTCCCCTAATCCTGCTGCTCTTACTTGTTTCCCACCATTCCAATCTTGGTCCTTAGCTCCATGAACCGAAGACGACCGAGTGGCTCAGTAAGGATGTCTGCGAGCTGCCGTCCGGATTCGACAAACTCCAAAACAATCTGTCCTTCATCGACACAATCCCAATCCCAGATGAAGTGAAAACGGGTATCAATGTGCTTGCTCAGGTCATGGAGGACTGAATTTTTTGGAGTTTGTCGAATCCAGACAGCAGCTCGCAGACATCCTTACTAAGCCACTCGGCCGTCTTCGGTTCATGGAGCTAAGGACCAAGATTGGAATGGTGGGAAACAAGCAAGAGCAGCAAGATTAGGGGAAGAATTGTAAGATATAATCCTGCAGTTTCCTTGTTAGTGAAGTGCAACTTCCTTGCACTTTCATTACACTTTCATTGCACTTTAGGCTGATTTTTCAGCTTAAGAAATTTCTAGGAAAGCCACTACAATAGTTGTTTTTAGTTGGATGCAGTTTTATTTGTAAATAAGAGAAAAACTGAATACTCAGTTGTTCAAAATCTTGTTCTTCCATCCTAAAATTGAACGAGCAGGGACTAACACATTATTTGTTTCAATGTCGATCACAGAATTCAAATACACAAACAAGATTGTTTTAAGATTTCGTTGACATTATTTAACCTTTGATGAATTTGATTGCGCAGGAGAGCAAATGGATCCATCATTTCTGGGTGGCTGACCATCCTGGGCATTAAAATTACTCCTCGGTAATCCTCCAAACCCATAGTTAGCTGAATTTCCAAGGTTTCCTTGTGCCTGAGCTTGTGCAAGAACCTGCTGCTGCTGTGATGCCAATAGGAACTGGTTTTGTGTCTGCAGATTGGGTTTCTGTACTTGTAAACCCAAACTTGGCCTCAATTGGTCAATTCCCTAAATAATATGGTAAACCATTTTTCAATTATATAGCCCCATACACACCAGATACTTCCTTAAAAGAATGTGACAAGACTAAAGCTATGAGAAACTCACTGTTAGCGGCCAACCATTCAACGGTAGACTAGTTACTCCTTGACTTAACCCTGAATAACAAGAAAATATGATAACATGAAGTCACATACACTATAAATAACCAATATATTACCATCCCCAGATTTAGAGAGAGAAAATCAATTTTCATTTAAGTTTGGTACTAAAGCTCTAATGCTGGGTGCTTCTGCAAACTAAATAATGAAGTTCATGACGGACAATGAAACAAAGCCCCTTTACCAAAAGGTCCCACATTCACTAGGAGACACGATATTCTGCCCGTCGAATCTGTGCTCTCCATTAACAATTATAAAAGGTGTTCAAAAGAAGTCAAGTGTTGAACATATTCAAAATTTAGGAGTTATCATCTCTTACACCTTTTAGCCATTTCCAACTTAGGTTCTTAAAAGGAAATGAGTAAGACAAATGAATCATGTAACTCAAAGACAATTGCGCTTATATTCAGAATAATTGCAGCAATAGTAATAGAACTTATATATATATATATATTATAACAAAATTAGATTTAGTACTACAAGGATGTACATGGATACAAACATGCAAGTGGCACAAATATAGAGAAGTATTCAACAAAAATAGAAAGGTTTTGGAGATATTGGTGTTGTACCTGCACCCCCAAGACCAGATTTTGACTGAAGAATTGCCTGCCCATATATAGATGATGGGTCCATTGGCAAAGACTTCTGAGGTCCACCCAAGTTAACTTCTTGTTTGATGTCCTGGATTTTTTTTTCAAAAGGGAAAGGTCGAGCTCAATGAAAAAGTTAAAGCGGCAAAACAAATGAGCAAGATAAACTGGTTTCAGTAAGTACAGTGGCTAGCTGGGGCCGCCCTTGTATTTGCTGCAATGCTACAGACATGCCGCCAGAATTTGCTTGAATCATCTGTCTGAATAAACCACAGGGAGAGAGGAGGAAATAAAATAAACAGATGATTCACTGAACCATGATTATTGCAATTTAACAACTTAAACAATGAATACAGTAAAGTCGTACTAATCTTACCCTTGTTGACTGGAAGCTGACTTGAGCAGTGCCATCCTACTAGCATCCATCAGGCCTGCAGATGTTTCTGAGTCAATGGGATTCGGGTGCTTCACGTGTCCTTCGTACATTTTCATAGGTAAAACACTTGCAGATTGCTGCCCGGCCATTCCTTCAGAATTCATTGAGTTGATAGGACCCAGTGGAGGATGGTTCGGATCCCTCCTCTGTAACTGGGCATTGCGCTGCTGCATGAGTTGCAACTGTTGGAACTGTAGCTGCTGCTGCTCCCTTGCTTTAATTTGTTGTGTCTGTGTTCAAGTCGAAAACACAGGAAATGGTCAACATATGCGCTCATTATAAAGAGTAGCTAAATATCAATCTAACTACAGATCTTGATAACCTCTATGTAGGCTGCAGCAGCCTCAGAATGCTTCTCATTTGTTCGTGCAATGAAAATGTCCCAGAACACGGACCACCATTCAAACAGAAATCCTCCAGGCGCATCAATAGCTACAAACAGAATTCAAATTGTAAGTGAATGGGCTATGATCCAGGATATCATTTTGTTAACTGGAATAAACAAATCTATTTTCACTGAACAACACACCAGCAGTCCAGTCAACTCAATCATACTATAAAACGAAACTCTTACCCACAGGATCACTAGCAACTTTTCCCTCTGCCATGAAGGCCTTCGCAGAATTATGCAATTTTCTTTTCAACAAATAATCATGAATGTAGACGTCAAGCCTGAAAAGGATCAGAAGCATAAATCTACATAAGCAGCAATCAATACAAATAATATTAGAAACTGAAACTATGTCTGCACATGAAATAGTTGTAATAGTAACAACAAACAAACCAATCTTCTACAGTAATAGAAAACAAGATGTTCACGCCAGTCAATACAAGACTACGCAGTAGATGCTTTGTTGTGTAACAACTCAATAAAGCTTTCTATGTTGTAGAACACATTGACTTAATTATAGCGCCCAGATATTCGCCAACAAAACAACAACCAAAAACACCATGAAATAAACAGTCAAGAATCTATACATCTTATCGGCTTCCCAATTACTCTGCGCCATGATTGTCGCTCCAAAGTGAATCTACTCCGTCAGTATCTTCCCTTCTCTGAAATCAATCCATCAAAATATATGAATTTCTCACAAAATTCTTCCACTAAAACAGCAAGCAAACAAGCAGCGGCATGAATATCTAATTCAGAAGGTTTAATATTACACCAATTGGATAGATCAACCTATACATAAACGATCCGCACAAATCCAATTAAAGTTCACCGAGCTAAAAAAAAAAAGAAAAAGCAAATAGAAAAAAAATCTCGAGTTTGTATTCTAGTCTGTCAATTCATCAACGATTGCTTATTCTGCACAGTTAGATCAGCAATTTCGAACACAGACCACGGAGCTTTTATCAAATTCGTCACAGAGATCACACAAGAGTTAAAAACATGCATGCGAAGCTACAGTCATAGTCGACAATTTTTCAGCTTTTTTCATCAAATTATTCAAAAATTGGTAAAATTCGTAATAAAACAGATGAAATACAGCATAAACACAACAACAATTCATCAATTCCATTGAAGAAGCTTAACGAAGCTTAACTGAAGGAGTGAAGCTGAGAAATGGAGAGAGATCGGCAAGGGAAAGCCCGAAACAGCTGGTGAAAAAATGGTCACGTATGGATCCGAGCCTAAGGCTCCGAGTGAGATATAAAGCGCAGATTATATATCGTAGCTAGGCTCGAAATGAGGCTCGGCGTGGTATCTTATGGAGACGAGGACACGGAGCCGTAGGCTCAGGTTTGGGCTTCAGTTGGGATAATGATCGGCAGATCGGGGTTTAAATGTCGAACGGCCTTTAGCTTACGTGGGAATGAGCTGACGTTCAATCACAAAAAATTTTATACCACCTAACAAATAGATTTCGTCTAAAAAAATATATTTTCTCATCCAAACAAACGTAGATTGAGTTCTACTGATGTGGCAGACAGAAAAAAAAGGCCCGATCTACTATTAAGTCTATTTTTTAAACATGGATAAAACTATGTAAAATAGAGAAAATTCACTCAAATGCAAAGATACTAGGTCTCTACTTGGATCTAAAATAGACTTGTTGATGCTCGAAATTTGATCAACATGGGGGATTCAGAGAAATTTATTGTATATTTATTTGTATGGGATTTTTGTGTGATTTTTGTATAAATAAATCATGAAAATACTGAAGAAGATGAAGCAATGTAAAGAAAGAAGCAGGAAGAAGTTCTCTTCCCCTGCACCGCTTCAGATAGAGAGAGAAAATAATAATGGCGCCCCTCAGACTTCTCTCGATGTGTCCATCATCGGGATATTTATATATATGTTTAATGGGCCCGATATTATCACAAGCAGTATTATTTTATGCCCACAAATAAAAATAATTGATATAATACATATCCACGTGTAATATTTTAATAGGCTAGGCCAAAATTTGGTATCAACAGTAGGCCCCCGACTTTAGGGCATGTTTTAAATAGAACTGTTCTGAAGTCTCGTGTATAATCAATTTTGGCCGTAATCAGTGTTGGCCGGGTACTTTGGGACCCATGGAGCCAATGACGTGGATAGTCAATTTTTCTGGAATTTTGAATGGGGCTTGGATGGCCTATTCGGGCAATTTGGTACCGTATTTCGCGTTTTTTGCGTGGAACGCGAAGCGTTTAATGAATTGCTTTTGTAATTGCAATAATGATATGGGTTTGTGTAGGCACTCGGGCCCCCGGAATTGTTACCGGATTCGCGATTCTGTCGTATTAAGACGACGCGATATTTTGTTTGGTTTGTGTTTGTTTTTCTTTACTATGTGGACCTGGTCGGATAATTTAGTATCCGGTCCTCAGCCTTTTATTTTTGTTTAATTATTTCTCAGTCGGGCAGTATGTTCCCGATCTTTGATGTAATATGTAGGGCTTTAGCCTTGCCAAACCAACTTCAGGGTTTGGAAAAGTTTTTTCTTATTATTTTTTCATTTAGATTCGGCTCTTTTACTGTACCGACATCAGTTAGCCGAATGATTTTTCGAGATTCGGCCTTTTTACTGTGCCAATGTCGGTTAGCCGAATTATTTTTATTTTATTTTACCGAGCTGAAGAACTCGGTGTAAAATTTTCTTTTAATATTTTTCCCAGCCGGAAAGGTCTTATTGACTTTGCCTAACCAGTGTGGGTTTTAATTTTTATTTTTCCCAGCCGGAAAGGTCTTATTGACCTTGCCTAACCAGTATGGGTCCTTAAGGAATTTAATGATCCCTGCCAGTACGGTTTTACATTGCACCTCACCATCATGGGTCCTTAAGGATTTTTCCTTGCCAAACCAACTTCAGGGTTTGGAAAAGAATTTTTTAGATTGACTTTTTATGTTTATGTCAAGATGCGTGTATGACATGCATATGAATGTATGTATGAATGTATGAATATATGATGAGTTCGTGCAATAAATGATTAATGCTTAAAAAATGATGTTACCTCGATATTTGGTCGAGTTTGACTTTGTCTGCCGGTAGGTGTTGTGCCTTACCGAATGAACGTCGGTATTTTTTTTATTTCCGACTAAAATATTCAGCATTTTATTTTACTCGCTGAATTTTTAAAGGAACGTCGGCAATTTTTATTTCCGACTAAAATATTCAGCATTTTATTTTACTCGCTGAATTTTTAAAGGAACGTCGGCAATTTTTCTTTCCGACTAAAATATTCAACATTTTATTTTACTCGCTGAATTTTTAAAGGAACGTCGGCAATTTTTATTTCCGACTAATTTTTAAGAGTCGGCTAGCCGAATTATTTTTCGAGATTCGGCTTTTTACTGTGCCGACGTATTTTTATTTTTCCCAGCCGGAAAGGCCTTATTGACTTTGCCTAACCAGTGTGGGCTTAGCCGGAGCGAAGGCTCAACGGCGGAAAAATATAAATGTCAGCTCAGCCGGAGTCATGGCTCACGGCGAGCAATAATAAAACGTCGGCTCAGCCGGAGTCGTAGCTCACGGCGAGCAATAATAAGACGTCGGCTCAGCCGGAATCGTAGCTCATAGCGAGCAACAATAAGACGTCGGCTCAGCCGGAGTCGTGGCTCACGGCGAGCTATCATAGGACGTCGACTCAGCCGGAGTCGTGGCTCACGGCGAGCAATAATATATCGGCGTCAAAGATAGATAAGTGACCTCGGCTTTAGAGTAGATAAATAAAGTCGGCCGTGGTATTGATAAATGAATTTGTCCTCATCGTGGATAAGGGAATCCGGCCCCAGCATTAATAAGTGAGGTCGCTTTGTGCGTCAGCCGGTTGTAAATAATTTCTCGCTCTCAGCTTCCGGCATACTGCGTGGAGATGTGTCCATCCCGACTGTGGTTAATCACCTTTAATTCAGCCCGCGGGTAGTTGCTGGTGCTGTGAACTGATTCTCGCTTTAAGAATTTTCTTCACTACTAGGCCCAACTTTATTTGTATGGTGGAGCACATCTCTCATAGGCCTAATCCAATTTTATTTAATTGGGTTCAGTAACTTTCCCTTTCACCCACTGCTGCAACTCTCCTCTCTCTCCTCTTCTTTTCTTTCGTTATATTTTTTTTTTCTTTTACACAATCGCTGACTACACCGACAAGCGGCTTCTTTCTCCTCCCCGTCATTGAGGATTTGAGGTTTTATTACAGAAATCGGAAACCTGGCCGCAATTTATTAGTCGGTTGATCGTTATGAGATCAAACCTTCACATCGGTGGTACTGGCCGGCGATGATGACGTCGTCTGTGGTTGAGGATTTTGGTGTCGGTTCGGCGATTGCGAGGTCGATAACGGTGCCGATGTCGGAGGTCGGCTCAATGATTTTGACTTCATTCAGAGAGAGACGATTAACTCGGTAAATTAGACCTCGGGATTCTGGTCGGATTTTGCAGCTCGGTCATTATCGAGGTCTCGGCAGAGAAGTCGGAATTTATTTGAAGAAGATGAAATCGGTCCAGATCGATTCATGATTCTCGGAAAACGGTGAGGTTGGTTCCCTCCGATTTATTTCTGCTCGTCGGTCGTCTTTCGAAGTCGGTTCTCCGAGGTTGGGCTAGTCAGACCCGATCTGAAGTCGTGAATTGACAGTCGGGCTCGATTTTTCTAATTCGGGCTCGGTATTCAAGAGATCGGGCCCAATTTAAGGTCAGAGAAGTCGGTTATGATGACTTACGAGGTCGGTTAATTCCGAAAGTCGGCTGGACCCTGGGGACTGAGTTGAAGATGCCGAGATCGGACAGAGAGATCGAGCTCGGCCGGGCACAACGAGGTCGGGCTTGAGCCTGATTTCTTTCGGGCTTGTCTCGCAAAGTCGGTCCGACGGTGATGTCGGGCGCGGGTGACTGAGGTCGGAAGTCGGTGATGATATTGACTCGTGAAGTCAGTCTCGGTTATTGTTGAAGTCGCCTCCAGTTTGCGACAGAACCGAGATATTAAACTCGGTTCGGGGGCACGAGATCAGTTCTGGCCGCCTTTTGCAGCTCGGTTGGGCTTGCTTGGAGGTCGGCCGGATTGTGAAAAGGTCATTCTCGACAACCAAAATCAAGTTTGAAGGTGATTCGGGGATTTTCGAGGTCGGATCCGTTGGTGAGAGATGAAGCTCGTCGGTAAACGACGAGGTCGGACCTCGGTCGGTTGCGGGGTCGGTTCTGATCGTCATTGGTGAGGTCGGCCCCAATTAAATTCAGTGTTTTCGATAAACATGGAGTGGGGCCCGTGAGATTGAGCGGCATCGTCAACTAATACAGGTGGCAATATTGCTAAAGGTCTCCACGTGTATTATTGTAGAAGGTTTCCTATCGGTGAGGTCACCGGCCATTTGCAAGCGGTGATACCAATCTTCTTTGACTGATGACTTTTTCTTCTTCTTTTCTTTTCTTCGTTTTTCTTCTCGACTCACTTACGAGGCCCTCCTTCTAGCGCCAAACTGTTGATGCTCGAAATTTGATCAACATGGGGGGTTCAGAGGAATTTATTGTATATTTATTTGTATGGGATTTTTGTGTGATTTTTGTATAAATAAATCATGAAAATACTGAAGAAGATGAAGCAGTGTAAAGAAAGAAGCAGGAAGAAGTTCTCTTCCCCTGCACCGCCTCAGATAGAGAGAGAAAATAATAATGGCGCCCCTCAGACTTCTCTCGATGTGTCCATCATCGGAGTATTTATATATATGTTTAATGGGCCCGATATTATCACAAGCAGTATTATTTTAGGCCCACAAATAAAAATAATTGATATAATACATATCCACGTGTAATATTTTAATAGGCTAGGCCAAAATTTGGTATCAACAAGACTTAAGGGAAGATCGAGTCTCTTTTTCTGGATGTCACATCAGCATGACTCAATCTACTTTTATTTGCATTGGAGAATATATTTTTTTTAGACTGTTTATTTCTTAGGTGACATATAATTTTAACTCAAAGCATTGTGGATGCTTAGCCATGATATTTTATAAACCTCCATAAATTTCACTTTTATATATTCCAATAAACCTCATTTTTACACTTCTCAACATTACACGTAATCCAAAACTTCATCCTTACTCCTACACTCATAAACATCCAATAACAATAAACTCCATAAACCTCATTTTTTATGGGTTTCACATGTTTCTCAATTACTTTTGTCGGATGAAGAATTTTTTCTCACAAGCCAAAATAT